TACTTAATTTAAGTAAAGTTTTAAAGTAAATAATAAACAAAAATCTACATTTAATAACTCAGACATTTCAGCAGATTTTATATTTTTATAAAATTTTTTTTTTTATTTTTATATTTAAAATTTTTTCAATTATTCATTTAGCGCAAAAAGTATCCATACAAATTAAAATAAAATTTTGTAAACAAACACAGCTGACATGTATGATGCGTTGCCAATTACTTTCACATGTGATCCCCATTGTTTCAGTAACGAAAATACAGATCATTGTTTGCTAAAACGTAGCTAATATGTATTTTGACGCACATAATGCAATCCTATTTTATACAAAAAATTACGAACCCAAATTATTTAAAAAAAAAAAATTGAAATAAAATTTGTAATTCACAATAGTACAATTGTATATCGATATTGTGAATAATTCTTATAAACTAAAGAAAAGTAAAACAAAATATTACTGAAACGGTCAGTATTTTCATTTCAGTCCGCAATCGTAACATGCCCCTTACGAATACTGATACAAAAACAAATATTAGAAAAATATATAGGAAAAATTAAGATTTGCTATGCGGACAGATTTTGATTCAAACTAGTGAAAACTAGCAAGGTCACAATTAATTGAGCTGAGGTTATGTTTACATTGTTTTATGTCTTTAATGTAATAAGTATATAACTTTTAGTAGATATGAATTATTACTATGATCTGAATTGTTGTTTTAGAATAAAACAATACATACATATTGTAATTAGAAATTTATTAACAATACATTGGTTACAATTTTTATTTGCGATCATTTAATAAGAACGTTTATTTATGTTTTATACTAATATAGTAATTTGTCATTAATATTTGCAGTTCATGTAATACGTTTATTTTTTATTGAAATAATTTTACCATTTTAGTAAATTCATATCTCTGGTTCTACGATATAACTAACCCAAAGATATTTTTTTATGCGACTTTATTTGTATTTTTCAAAAATACACAAAAACATGTAAATATATAGCTACATCTGACAGTTTCGCAGTTCGAATTTAGCATTTGCCTCATAACACGTCCTACGATAAGTACATTAGTTAAGGGATTCAATTTTGAAATTTGATACAATATTTAGCACACATATGATACTTATTTTTTTTATATTTAGCTTAAGTTTAGGAAATGACTATGAATAATTCTAGTAAATGATTTATATATATTTTTCTCTTCATTGTTATTATTATTATTATTATTATGTGTAATACAAAAAAAAATTTGCATTTTAGTATCAGGTGGCCACATTACATATATAAAGGGTATATTTATCATTAATTACCTCTCACCTGTATGTCTGCTCAATGGGAATTTTATCGTTATCGAATTAAATGTTTGAAAACAAATTTAACTGATAAATTACTGTTTTATTTTATTCTCTTTCTGGTGGCTTTTCCGCCTTTTTTTGCTTCTCTCTATATAAGTAGCTAAACCTACGGAACTAAATATTAAATAAATGAAATTAAGAATCTGTTAAAATTAATTTAAAATGTTATGTTAATATTAAATTTAATCAATTAATATACTCAAATATACTTTGGTATGCTTATATACTCCACATAATGTCTTCTAACGTGATTATTTGATAAAACTAAAGTTGAAAAAATATACATACATATATTATGCTGAAATAGGAATCGAATAATTTGAAATATATTAAATTTAATATATAGCTGTGGATTATTTTTTATGAAAATCGGCGAAGTTGAGCTTAAAATACTGCAAAGTAGAATTGCAATAATTACTCTCCAATGGTAAATATATGTTAAATTTTCTAATGTTTACTTTTACGTTTTAATAAATTTTTTTTTATAAAAATTGCATTGCAGTTTTTAAATAAGGTCCTTTTTTTAATAATAAACAGTTTGGACATAATTTTTCAATATTTTATTACAAAGGTATCATATTAAAATAACATATGTATATAATAGTGAACATAAAATTATAAAATTAACAATTAATAGTTTAAATGAAATAAATATATTTGTATTTAAACAATTGTTTAATTATGTGAAATTTTGGCAATAATTCCAGGTTAATTATACGAGTAATTTGTTAGATTGAATTTTACTGAAAGGACAGTGACGCAATTATTTTTTAGTGCGTAATTTGTTTCTAAATAAATGCATCATTGTCCTTTCTTATGGGAATTCACTATAATTAAGTCAAAGGTTGATAATGACTATTAATACAAATATATTAATGAAATTTGCCAAAAGTTGAAATCAATTAAAAATAATTACTTAAAGAAGAGTAAAATTTGATGCTACATATTATATATATATATATATATATATAATATATAATATATCATACTTATATATATTTTTACTCATATTTATTTAAAGTAATATATAAAATTTAATTGGCCTACAATTTAATGTATATAATATAATATAAAATGCATATAATGCAATATTATAAAGCAATATATAATGTATATTACATTCATACATTCATATATTTGCCTACACGCATTCATACATTGAAATTGAAATAAAATAGATATTTTTATTAGGAGTTCTTTTATTTTCAATATATGAAACTAAGAAATTCTTATTATTATTAAGAAAATACTTAACATTCCAATTTTATTATTTATTTAATTTGACAAAAGAAATTAAATTCTTAATATAAACTAATAGTAGAGTAGAGTTAGTAGAGTTATACTTTTTTTTTTAGTAGAGAGTTATTTCAAACAGTATTAAATCATTGTTATTGTTTTATTTTAAATCTTCTTTAATGGCAACTATATTAAAATTATTAATTAAATTTTTTTAAATTTTATATGAACATAAAATGTTATGTTTAAACATAATGTCAGAATATAGAAGAAACAAGTATCAGCAGACGTCTAACTTTAGTTCCCGATTAAGAGATATAGTCAATGTAGTAGATATTTGAAAGAACTGTTAGACTACGGTTTGTAATAAAAATTAATAGTCGGGGTATAAGTACTAGATTTAGTTTTTTGATTTTAAGTTTTTTGTACGATGTGCCGAAGCTGATGAATATTTTTTTAGGTTCCATTATTTTGGTTTTGATTTATTCATTCTATTCACTTACTTGTAATATTGAAAATGTTAATATAGCACAGTTTTTCTACAGAAATGTGTAGTTCTAATGGAGCGTGTACTCTGTTTTTATGTTCTATAAAAAAAGATATCTATTTCAAATAGGAAAGTCAACTGCAGTGAACAACTATAAAATTCAAAAATTAGTTTTCAATCAAATAAAAAAAGGTTTATCATAGTGTTTGACATTTTCAATTATCCACCATCACACTCTTTTGGATTATCACCTGCAAGTGATTAGTTCTTTTGGAAAGTTGTCGGTTTGAAGTCATTTACTTTTTGCAGCTGTATAAATATAAATATTAAATTTTGTTTAAATATAAATATAAGAAAATTATTTTTTGGTATTTGAACATTTATATATCTTATAGTATATACCAAAAATATTGTTATAAATATGTATCAAATTTTAATTCAATTAAATATTTTAAATAAAATTAAAAATACGATTTGAACGTAAACTTTTTTAATTTCTTTCTAGATCCTTCTTTCCGAATCCACTTGATTACCTTGAAGTGGCATTGTGTAATATTAGGAAATTTTTCTCATTTTTATTTTATAATTTAAATAGAGTTCGATAGATTTATTTTCATCTCTCTTAGTTTTCAATCAAATAAAAAAAGGTTTATCATGCATTTATATTATGCATTTAGTATAGTTACCTATCATTTTATATTCTAAATTATAAATAATTAAAACAAAAACATTGAAAAGTCCAGTTTTTAAAGAGGACATTTAATATGATTTTCTCAAATACTTTAGTAAAAGATCACTGAACTAGATAAGATCAGTAAATATGTCTAAAAATCGCGTTTACCTTTCTTTCAAAAATCTTATCACTAATAAAAAGAATAAAATAAACCATAAAGGCTAAGATAAAAGATCCCTATCCTCTCTAGGTATTCTCATACTAATTTAGAAATCTATGGTTACAAATAGACGTGCTAGTTGGTAATTTTTGTTTATTTAATCAATATCAATCAATATTTGATATAGCTTTTGTTAATGTGATCAGTGCAAAATGTTTATAATTTAAAATCTCGTTATCTCGAAAAGTAAACCATATTGGCATGTAGCGTAGAAATTACGCAAAATAGTTAACTTTACTAAAATTCGTTAACAAATTGGGACACCCAGGATATTGGAATATATTTAACATATATTATTTTTCATGAAATAAAAAAAAAACAAAATTCTTTTATATTGTTGATATAAATTTTATACTACTATTTTTATTAGCTATTAATGCTGAATAGAAGTGGCATCCGATTTGTCACAAAGTTTCCCACTGGGCATTGCGGAGTCAAAAAGCATTTATCGAACTTAGGTATTACTAAAGACGATGGCTACAGACGTTGTTACGAAGAAGAGAAAACAACAGAACATATTCTGTGTCACTGTGATAGTCTCGACAGACTCAGGTTTCGGTACTTAACAACTGCCTATCCACTTATAACGGAATTAGCAACATCTTTCCAAAGGTCGTAATAGCGTTCTTAATTGCTACTCGTCTATGGAACTAAAGTGGGTATGTCACAATAATTCTCAAAGGATGCAGTGATGTGGTTACAAGTTCCCAACCATTTTATAATCTAATCTATCTAATCTAATCTACTACCATTTTTATTATAACATTATTGGCACATGACCTGCGTCAGTTATACTATGATAGATAAATAGAATGACATATAGATATATAAATTATAGAAATGCAGGCAATTGATTGGAGTAGTTGCCTTTTGCATAAAAGCTAGTATTGAGTAGTTTCTTATATTAGTTAGAGAAAGGACCTATAATTACTGATTTTTCCTCTTAAGTCAAAACAAAGTCGTATAGTTATAAAGAATGTGTTTACATATTTAATTCCTAGTAAGCAGAGAGGATTTTCTGCCACCTCGGATGTAGTTGTAGATGTTATTTTAACAAGAAAAATAATAGCGCAGGTTTAGATTATCCATCAAATAATTTTGCAACAATGTTAGTTCTCTTCTACCAAGCAGAGATATATCTTTGCAGTCAAATAAACAAGTCAACTCTTTATATTTTTCACAGTTATAAATATTAGATTTTACACATTAAAGGTAGAACGATCTGCGATTCGTTCTTTCTAAACATTTTACTTACCCCTTAAGAAATCTGTCGTCCAATAAAATTGAAAATATGTTAAGTAATTAAGAGTAATTAAATCATGATTGATAATTAACTTCCTCTCATTTGCATATTAATTCAAACACATTCAATACATTTTTGATAAAATTTTATTAAAATTGTTTATTAAAGTTTTTCTAATTAACTTTGCAGTATATTTTCAGCTGTAAATTAGGTGAAATAAATTCTTCAATTCCCTAAAACTCGAGTTGCACCTATTCGAGTTTTAAGGACGTCTCCCAATTATGCAAAGAAGATATTTATTTGCTCCACATTTATCAGTTGAAAATGTTAGAAAAATATTTTACTTTAATTGACTTTTAACTCGTTTCAACATTTGCGATGATATTTCATTTAAATTTATCACAGTTTTAAAAAAGAAATAAAGAAAATAATTTTTAATTTGTTTTTCTATTATAATAATTTATATTTAAATTATGTAATGTTTATGTAATATTTATGTTAATGTATGTGTATTTTTTTCAATAAAAAAATTAAATTGTATGAAAAGTTATAGTTTATAGTTTATATAGTCTTAAAAATTCATAATGATTTTAAAAAAATTTGTCTTCGCTCGCTAAAGAATTCTTTTAAAACCATTAATTAATTTTTAAATATTTCTTAATATTTTACATTACATAACTTTTACATGAACTTTAAACTTTTAGATGAAATAAAAATTTATTAAAAACAATATTAAATAATTTTATAGTTACAATAATATTAATATGAATTTTTTTATGCAAGTTTATAGAAAATATTTTTTTCTTTTTATGTAAAATAAATATGAGTATGTATGTGTTTATATTCGTTGATTTGTATTACTAATTTTTACAAATACATTGCAATGTCATGCTTAAGTAAGCAAACATTAATTATTTTAAGAGTACTTAAATTATTTACTTAGAACTCTTCTTCTTCTTTGGTATTTTTGCCCAGATGCGGAAGAAGTATTCATCACGTTGCAGCAATTTGCCACGAGCGTATGAATGTATATCCGCATCCATGTGGTGATCACGCAACCATGATGAAGTATTACATGTACTTATTTCAGTACGAGGTTCATCTGGTAGACTTGCATGACCTGCAAAGAAATTTTATATGTATAAAATTTAATTCTCAATCTTAATTAATTGGTATTTTAAATAATGTAACATATATATATAAAATTTTTTATGTACGTTACACCTAATGCATATCAAGCTATTAACTTAAAACTCAAAACTATTGAACTATTTGAATTTTACCATAAAATTGTCACAGAATTAAGATTTAGTAGAATTTTGTAATAAACATATAATTTATTTACAAATCTGCTTACACTTTAGGTTATGTTAGATTATACTAGCAGTATTAAGTTTGAAGTTGAGCGTTTTGGATCAGTCTGTTTACATACAAAACTCAAAACTTTTAAGACTATCTGAAACCTAAGATGCTTTCTGAAAAGAGGTCTTAAATCTTACTAATATGCTTTTCACACTACAAACCTTAAACTTCTTACAGAAGGGGTCTTATACCCAATTCAGATTACAAACTGAAGGTTTCTTACAGAGGTTAAAATGTGCATTTGCACTACATATTTACTCTCATAATAGCTGCAATTCGAAATCTCAATTAAAGCAAATTCTGTATTAAAACTCTATAATGTATATATAACTGTCTTTATATATATATATAATCTATATTATGTTTATACTATATATGTTATAGTAAGTGAGCACAAAAAAGAAAAAATAAAATTTATGAGAAAAAAACGTAAGAAGCTTTGTTCTGTCTTCTTTCGCTAGGTTTGCTGGCTTGATCATATCGATGGATGAAGACTCTCCAGTGAAAATGAAGTTTGAAACGGTAGTTGGATGAAAAGGATCTAGAGGTAGACTGTGTTTTTGGTGGAGTGATCAAGTTAAGGGAAGACTAACCAAACTTAATGTATGAGACTGGAAAAGAGAAGTAAACATGTATAGGCGCTTGGAGAGACATACCCGTTAATGGGTTGTTATAGCTATTTAAATAAAATAAAATAAAATGCGTAACCAATTAAAGCTTTTGCTAAGTGTGTGTTTTTGTTAAACTTCTCTCAAACTTCTAGTTCAAAAATATAAGAAAAGACTATCTTGTTTTAATTTTTCGTTTGTGCTCACTTGTGTTATACCCGAAGTATTGTAGGAATTCTTGTAATATTGCACAAATTGCTTCATCCTGTCTCCTACATTGGTTAGATTTTGGTTAGACTTAGGTTTTTACATACACAATCTCATTTTATCTCCAATACATAGAAATTTTTGTTCGTAGACAAAATTTTAGAATAATAGATATTTGCGTTCGAACAAAATAATCTTTCGCAAGTCAAGCCCAGTTAGTGGCTTCTCGCTATTTGCAAGTTTTACTGGAATTTTAGGTTGCAGCTGCTCTGTGACGTTTATTTTTAATTCTTTCTTAATATCTGTTCGGTAAATACAATATATGAATTTTGAAAAGAAATCGCGATATTACTATCAAAAACTGCAAGTGCATGAATATTAACTCACAAGATATAAAATTAACTACTATAAGACACTTTTGTATTGTTTTATTATTAGTCTGATATTATATATTATTTATTTTAATATTTTCTTTTTTTTTTGTAAGAACAAATAAAAAAAATCACCCTGTTAATAGAACATGTAACTTACTAAACATTTATCTTAACAAATCTCTTAATATGAGAAAGTAGATTGAGAAATGATTTTTTATAACATAGCCGAATTTTTATAATTAATAACATTATCATAATCATTATATTTAATAAATAAATCAAAAGCTTAAAAAAATAATGCATTCTATAACAACACTATTTTTAATATTATTTTTATACTTACCAGCTGTCATGACCTTATATGGTTCTTCTGATTCTAAGGGTTCACTTAAGCCTATTTCATTCTTTGCAAATATTCGAATCATATATTCATGATTCTCTTGTAAGTCTCTTATTTGGAATCTTTGCACACCGGCAGGCACTCGTCCAACTTCTATCCACATAGTCTTCTTCATATCACGTATCGCAATGTGGTAACCCAACAATGGCGCACCTCCATCTGATTCGGGTATACCCCATTCGAATATGTGTGCGTTGGCAGCAATTACTCTAGCTTCTAGTGGAGCAGTAGGAGCCGATGGTACCGCTAAAAAATAAAGTTAGATCATATAACTTTTGAAATATCTAAAATAATAGATTTTACTTACTTGCATGAGTTTTCAGTGAAATGTTTTCGGTTACAGCTGGCGCACCCAATCCAACTGAATTTTCTGCAGATACTCTAAACCAATATTCGCATTTTTCTTTCAAATTATCGACAGTATATTGCATACAATGTGCGTCCAGTGTTATAACTTTA